AAAACCCTATTCCTCCCTCATTTATATCTTTAATTTCATTTCTTGTGAAGTCTAGATACTTGTTTTTGGTTCATATGCATTGCTAGGAACTGTGATTAGGATTGCATGCACTTTTATGTTGTGATTGAGCATTTTGCATAAGTTCGATCGATCTCAAATGAGAGTTCAATTGATCGAACTTCAACCTGCATCCAACACTTAAAAAATTTTCAACATGCATCCACCTACATCCAAATCACCTCTCTGTCCCATCGTTCGAACTTGTTCTCAGATCGATCATAACTTTTTCGATCGATCTTGAGTTCTCACACTTAGACAAATTTCTGAACCCAAAAACCTGCATATTTTTGCTCTCTGTCAGATCGATCGAACATTTTGTCCAGATCGATCTCTGTTCTTCATCTCACCATCTCTGACTGTGTTTGACTTTTTAATTTTTAAAATTCAAAAAATATTTTTATTTTTATTTTTATTTTATTTTATTTTCCAAAAATCCCAAAAATATTTTATTTTATTTTAATTCTTCAAAAATCCAAAAAACTTTTATTTTCAATTTTTAATTTTCAGTTTTAAATTTTAAAATTTTAATTTAAAAAAAAATAAAAAATAAAAAATTTCAGTTCGATCAATCTGAGGTCTCAGTTCGATCGATTGAACTAGTTCGGAAAAGTTTTAAAAAAAATGAAACCGAGGGTTTCAAGATCGATTTCAAAGATCGATCTAACCCTCTTCCAAATCCTATCCCTCGTCGCCGCTGCACCCATCTTCCCCATCTCTGGTGAACATCTCCAGCGAGCTTCATCTCATCCCGGATCTCTCTCTATCCTCTTGGATTTCGCATCTCACCCCTTCGAGTTTCACTTCTCTCTCTCAGTTTTTAGGTGAGATCTGAATCCATCCTTTAGATTCAAGCATCCATTTGCTTCATACTTGCTTTAAATGTTAGATCCATGCTCTTTTAATGTTGAAAACCTCCATTGATGAAGTTTGAATCTTGTTGTTTATATATGTATATATGTGTATATATGATTGTATATATGGTTGATTTTTGATTTATTTTTGGGAGTATGGGCCTCGTATAGGTGAATAGGATTGATGATTTATGTGTTGATGGGCCCACGACTATGTTCGTGAAGGCCCCGTGCCATCCATGTCACAGATCTGTGACTGTCCACGTTCTTCGCAGAGTTCGATCAATCGAACATATTCCTCAGATCGATCGAGTGAGATCGATCGAACTTAGTTATTTAATTTCTCAGATCGGTCATAAGAGATCGATCTCACAATTTTTGTGTTCGATCGAACTTCACAGATTTCATACACACATTCCATGCATCTTATCTTGTGTCTATGCTATCTCATTCATGCCCAATGCCTGTGATTTTCCACATTGGATGCATTTAATACTTATACTGCTTAGCATGTTCACATCCTATCACTTCCATAGATTCATGTCATTTATCTATTTTGTCTGTCTTACTTGACATACATGATTCTATTTTGTGCTTTAAATTCTTTATTCTGGCACTGACTTCCCTTGCAAGTTTTCAATTATTTTACAGGCCATGGCTAAGCGCAAGACTGTAGCCCGTGGACACTATCACCACTGAGGCAGGCTGAGTTTAGATGACGAGGCCAGTCCTTCTCATATCCAGGACCCTACACAGGAGGAGCCGGCTGAGCCCACACAGTTTCCTCATTCTGACAGCAGATTACATTCCGATGCTGGTGCATCTCCTTCACACAGTAATGATGAGGCTGAGCATATACCATCTCCACCACAGCTAGCTCAGCCAGTCCGGGAGTTAGACCAACCACTACGCAGATACTCACGCCTTCCAGTGGCGTATGAGTCAGTCTTCGATACAGATTTCTTCTCCAAATCAATACTTACCCGATCAGCTTATAAGGATATATTCCGGAGGGGCCTTGCAGCCATTATTGCCCATATCACATACCTAGTGTACCCGAGAATAGTACAGATGTTCTTCCAAAACCTCCGGCCTGCCCCACGTAACACAGCGGAGCTGAGGACCTCCATTGATGGCCACCTGATTTCTATTACTGTGGACACATTATCCAGATCATGCCATTATCCACATGACTGCCCTCCCGACCTACAGGAGACATATCCCAGGCTATACAGGCCTTCATATGCAGATATGGCCGTTCTTCTTATAGGTCATTACGCCGATGGCGAGACCTTCGCCACCCGCACCTATTTGCCAGATGACTTGTGGTTCTTCAACTCAGTCTTGTTCCACAACGTCTTCATGGCGGCCATAAGATTCAGCGGAGAGGCAATTACTTGACAGCTCTGTACGCTTTTTATACAAGGCATTGGCTGTTTATCCCTGCGCTCATCTGGAGCGTGATGAGGAAGCTCTACGATGAGCACATCAGCAAGGAGCACATCAGCAAGGGCTAAGTCTCTCCCATTTGGTCACCTTATCACCCAGATCCTACTAGACCAGCGTTATCCTTTCCATCCACGGGAGCACCCTGAGCGAGGATCCTGTCACTTCCTGAAGAAGGACTGGGATAAAAGCTATAATGCTATTATCAAGAGATTATATGAGGACGCAGCAGAGGTGACAGAGGAGTTAGAGGCTAAGGAGGCAGCAGCAGCAGTCGATCCGGCTGCATTACATATGGATATTGACTTGGAGCAGCCGGCCAAGGACGCAGAGCAGCACTCTCCAGCTGGGTCACCCATTCATGATGCGGAGCAGGCTCAGGATCATCATTCTTCCGATCCAGCCACACCTGAGGCTCCAGCTCAGACACCCAATTTTGGAGAGCGTCTTCAGGCTTTGGAGGATGTTGTCGTATCTATCCACACCGACACGGTCTCTCTCCGAGAGGATACTGTCTCCATTAGAGCTGATATTGCTACCCTCCGTACGGATGTCATGACCGCATTCCGATATCTATCCCGAGACATCCGCAGAGCGTGACCTACCCATCCTACCCCTTCTTCCTGATCTCTCTATCCTTTTCCTCCTGTTACTTTATATATCCGTGATACTTGCTATATTTTTGTCACTGTTATACTATTTTTGCAGCCGTGTCTATCGGCTCTGATACTAGATGTACTATACTTTATTTTTATTTTTATTTATATATATATTTTCTGTATAGATGTCATATTTTCATATTCTTATTGCTATCTATTTGACTCCATCAGGTGCATCCCAGTGACTTCAGTGAGAGAGCGTACTGCCCCAAATTTTCAGGACCACCCTTATACCTCTCTCTATTTTCAATTGCTATCCCATTTACACTTACATGACCACTGTGCACTGTATTATCCCTTTTGTTATCTGATGAGTTTATCCAAGTGCCAAATTTTAGGACCACAGTTAATCCCAAGTTTGGGGGGGCTATACCACCCACTTTAGATACTCCTGTCCCAGTCATTCTTTGCCTTCATTGCACTGGTATACTTTTTTCTTTTGTTCTCTTTGCACATTGAGGACACTGTGCCATTTAAGTTTGGGGGTAATGGTGCTTTGCAGTGTTTGTTTTTAAATTCAAAATTTTGAGCATGACTTGTGTATTTGAGAGATTTTCTATGATTGGTCCATATTAGCTATGATTTTGATCTTTTGAGGACTATATTGCTTAAAATTTAAAAATTGCTTGATTTGAGAGTCCAATACTCCTTATATGCCTTGTGGATGCCATTTAGGAGTAAATTTTTCAAAAAATTGATATCTTGTTTGCACTTGTGGTCCACATCATCTTGATTTTGTGATTATTTTGAGATTCATTCTAGGATTCTACACTAGCACAGGCGCACACTAGCATTCATTTGTGGGGTACATGCTTTGTTGATTATTGAATTGGTTATATCCTAATTGAGCTAGTAGTGCATTGAAAACTTTCATTCTTGATAAAGGTGGATAACAATCCCTTTTCACTAAGTAGCTGAGATTCTAGCCTCATCAAGCATTGAACTTCTCGCGCCGAAAGGTGGAGGGCCCAAACTCTAGGTTAATAATTGAACTTGAAAAAAAAAAAAAAAAAAAAAAAAAAAAAAAAAAAAAAAAAAAAAAAGAAGAGAAAAAATTGCAAAAGCAATAAAAAAGTGAGAACTTCTCCCAAAAGGTGATAAGTGGGAAATGATTATGTAACAACCCGGATTTTTAAGAATTTAAATTATTTTTATCTCATAAATTTTAGTTGTTAGAGATTGATTATTTAATTTTAAATTGATGATTTATCCATTTAAATGATTTAATGGGTTTGATTACATTATATATATATATATATATATATATATATATAATGTCTGTTGAAGCAAAATGGATGCACCAGCAGAAAAGTAAGAAAGAATGAATTGGTTATTTGATTAAGCGGGACCCACTTGTTATGAGAAATGGGTTTTGATTTTCTATTCAAATATATCTATATGATATATATGTATATTTGATAAAGAGAAAGCAGCCGGCCAAATGAGGAATAAAGAAAAGAAAGGAAAATTGGTGGTGGCGGGTCCCACAAGTGTGTAATGGGTTTGATTTTTTTTGTTATCTTATATATTATATAAGATATATATGTATATATAATTTTTGTTGGATGATATGATGCAGCCGAAATGTAAGGAGATAGAAATTGTAAATGTGATGATGGAAAAGTGATGGTAAGGTTAAGTGCGGGACCCACGAGATATGAATGAGTTTTAGTTTTATGTATATTATCTATCTATGTGTTGGCAGATGGGTGTTAAAAAAAAAAAAAAAAAAAAAAGAAGAAACGTAATGAAGTGGGCGGGACCCATGCAAAGATTTTTGTTGCCATTTGTTCTCTGGACCTAGTCCTTCACGTGGCTTTGTTTTATTTTGGTGGACTGATTTAGTTGTATTGTCTGATGAAAGTAAAGGTAAAGAATGGGTGGCGGGACCCATAGATATTTTGTATAAGCTGAATTGATATTTTGTGTCGGTACAAAATGCCTATATATTGTGTACTTTGTGACTTGGGTAAATGACTCGGAGAAGAGAAAAAAATTGAGAAAAACAATACAGAGAGAGTTCTGAGGACAGAGACGCCGAGAGAAGGCAGTGAGGGCCGAGACTTGGTGCTCAGATGAATTATTATTATTATTTTACAGAGTAGGGATCATCCTACCTTGAATGGCTTGGATAATTTTATTTCAAATATTTTGTTGATTGTTATTTTGCTAAAAATTGCATATATGTATTTTGTTTAAAAGCATATATATATTTTTTATGAAGCAAATTTATCATGAAACTCTTTGAAATCCTTATTATGGTTTTTCCTACTGTCTCACCCCCCTACAGTTTCAGGTACCGAGGATAAGCTTGGATTGCTAGTTGCGAGATTAGGTGAAAAAGTAGGAGTTGAGGAATTATTATTATTTTTATTTTGGAGATGTTGTATCTATATTTGAGGAAATTGATTTAGTATCAATTTAATTAATTTGAGATGGTGTCTTATTTGTTTTGAGGAAATTTGATTGATTTTGTATCAATAAAGGATATTTAATTTCTTTTGAGATCCTGGGTGTCTTTTATGAAGTATTTTGATTTGAATAAATTGAGGATTTTATTTAGAAAAAATTCGGGGCGTTACAGATTAGATAGAGATTGTTTTGATTTGTAGCCTAATTGATTTGAGCTTGTAAATCCGTAGGGGTGTTTGAATACCTAGTGCCCTAAAACTATCTGGTTTGGGAATCATTGACCTAATGCCCGACCTCATAAATCGCTAGAAAGCTTAATAGATCAACACATTGCACCATGCTTCCATCTTTGATCATATAAAAAAATAATAATAATAAAAAAAAATAAAAAATAAAAAAATTCGAGTGAAAAGAATAAGCGCACTTAGAACAATAAAGCTTTAATAAAAAGTTCACTTTTTGTCTTGATAATCGGTACTAGATTTGTGTGCTAGTTTGAGGGTAAGGATGTGATTAATTCTTTAGTTGGCCAAGATAGTAATATATTTGATGCCGATCCACTCAAAAAGGATTCTAGAGTTGTTTTGATTTTCATGATCATTTTCTTGATGTGTGGAGGACCATACTTACTTGCTTGATGTTGAGATTTTGGGAGATTGCTTGGAAATGTTTGAAACATTGCATACTTGAGGTAATTTTCTCCCAATGCCTGTTTGCAATATTGGTGCTTCTTTTGAAAGAATGAGCTCAATGTTTGTGGACATCATTTCTAGAAACCCTCACGAGACTTCCCTCGTCCTCTAGGGGTACCCTAGGGGTTTAAAAGGCTTGTTGCATGTGCTAAATGCAATCGTGTTCCTTACGAAAGTGGTGTGATCCATTTATTGCTTTCTAGTTCATAGTTGTATAGTTGTTCATTTCATTCCTTTACTTTCTAGTTCATTGCTAGGGACTAAAAATATTTAAGTTTGGGGGTGTGATGAGCGCTGAAAAGTGCGTATTTAAACCCCTTAAGCTTAGGTGTTCTAGAACATTTATCGATCTTATTTTACCGTTTTGTATTGATTTCGCGTTATTTCCATTTTCAGGTACTTATCCCCAAAATAAGCTAACTCAGCCAAATAAGAGCATAATTGAAGCAATTCTGGGATGAATCAAAGAAAGGAGCAAAGTAGAGCAAAAGGAAGAAAAAGGTGGAATTTCAGCAACTTCGATCGATCTCAAGAAAAGTTCGATCGATCCAACTTTCATCAATCTCAACACTTCAAGATAGATCTGAGCCATGTTTGTCCCTATTCAAAGATCTAAAAAGTTCGATCGATCCAACTTCCATCTCTGATCGATTGAACATTCTTGTCCTTATCCAAATGATTGATCTTATCCAGTTGTACCACCCTACCAACCACTTTTGTCCTTTTCCCAAAAATATCTTCAAAATATCTCAGATTTGTTTTTTTACAAAAAGGTGCCGTCATTGAGGATCGATCTAACTTCAGTTTGATAGATCTCAGCCATGTTCAATTGATCCAGGTCCAAGGTTCGATCGATCGAACTTCCTCCAGTACGAAAAAGTTAAATTTCCAGCTCACAAAAGTTGTCCTTTATCCAATCATTGGAGAATATTTGATGTACGACCACAGCTCATTTTGGGTGTCATTTGACCTACCTATATAAGGATAAGGATTACTTTTTGTGAGAAACGATCATATTGTATTATCTCATATCATATCATAACTTAGAGAACTCTTAGTGAGGAAGCAAAAGAGGAAGAGGAGGCTAGAGACACCATTGGAGGCTCTTCATTAACCAAGGAGCAGATTTCTTCCATAAAGCTTGCCCTTGAGGGTTGGACGACATCATCCATGAGTGGTTAGACATCCTCTTGGGGCTAGAGTTAGCCCTAAGTATGCTTTTTACTTCTTGATTTATGTATTTTTGAGGGGATTTGTATTGTGATTCATGTCTTGACACTTCTATATATATAGATCTTGTTTATTCAATGATTTATGTGGTTTAATGCTTCCAATTGATCATTTCATTCTATCCATATGTCTATGTATGCTAGAATAGATGTTCATGTGTTTGTCTCTATTTCTTGTGTTATTGATGCATGTCTATGTGTGTTGATGCTATAGATCTAAAGATTGTCAAGACATAGTACTTAATGTCATGTTCTTGTGATTTATTTGATGGTTCATACTCATTTCTTGATGGATTGTGCCTCTCCCTTAGTTTAATTAGTTTAATTTCATGTCATTAGCTTAGTTGTAGTGTAGTTGTTAAGTGGGAGGACAATCCATGCTGTTGTCGATGTTCCATACTCATGAAAAGCAAGTAACATGTATCTCTAACCTTGTGATATGTTTGGATTGTGAGCTTAAAAAAAGGATTAATGGCTTAATTTGATATATTGTGCTATCCACCATGTTGTTTAGACAATATATGCTTAATTTGTCATCCATGATTATTGAAGCAACCACACACACACACTCTACATTGCAATACATGTTCTTCCCCTCATTAATCATTCATTAAAGGTGTAGAAAAGCTATCCTTAGCGGTGATCTCTAAACCCCAAGATCTCTCTCTCTTTTATTCTCTCTATTGCATTATTGCTTACTTTAATTTAATTTGCATCTAGTTTAATTCAACTAACGAACCACTATTTTGATCACTCGACCTACTAACCCAAATTTTGATTCCTCAACCTAGTACGATACTCAATCCCTTGGGACGATTCTTACTCACCCTAGCTATATTTTTAGTGAAAGGTAGTAGTGGCAATTTATAAATGTAAAACTTGGCCACATAAGCATAAACTTTGGGTTTGAATTGACGACACACCACCTTGCTCACTTTCCTTTGCCCAATGTACCTAGTCAAACATGAACCAACACAATAAGTAATCAAAAATAAAAATAAAGTAAAGACATGATCAAAAGAGTACTAATTCCTAATTGTTTCCACAATACGACGTTGCCTAAAATCAATCCCCGGCAACGGTGCCAAAAATTTGGTGGTTGCCATCGCGTTGCACCAAAAGTTTGCAAAGAGGTGAACTAAGAGTGTGAGTGTGCAATGTGGCCAAGTTTTAAATTTATAAAAGCCACTACTACCTCTAACTAAAAATATAGCTAGGGTGAGTAGGGATCGTCCCAAGGGATTGGTGGGTCGTATTACTATGGAAACAAGATTAGGGTTAGTTGGTCGAGTGATCAAAATGTGGTTAGTTTGGTTGATTAAACTACAATTAAGACTAAACAAGGTCAATATAAAATAAGTAATTAAAGGATGGAGAAAACAAGAGAGAGAGGTCTTGGGACTTAGAGGTCACCACTAAGCATCACCTTTCTATACACTCAATTCATAATTAATGAGGAGGAAAACATATGTTGCAACAATAGTGAGTGTGTGTGGTTATTTCAACAAGCATGGATGACCAGTTAAGTATATATTGTCTAAACAACACAATGAATAGTACAATATATCAAACTAAGCCATTAATCCTTCTTTTAAGCTCACAATCCAAACGCATCACATGATTAGAGAAATATACTACTTGCATTCATAAGTATAGAACATCAAACAACAAGCATGGATTGTCCTCCCATTTAACAACTAAAGTAACTACACTACATCTAAGCTAATGACATGAAAATTAAACTAATTAAACTATGGGAGAGGCACAATCCATCAAGAAATAAGTATGAACCATCAAATAAACCACAAGAGCATTCTATTAAGCACTATGTCTGGACAATCTCTAGATCTAGAGCATCAACACACATAGACATACATCAACAACACAAGAGCTAGAGATAAACATATGAACATTAATTCTAGCATACATAGACATATGGATAGAATGAAATGATCAATTGGAAGAATTAAACCACACAAATCATTGAATAAACAAGATCTATGTATATAAAAATGTCAAAACATGTATTACAACACAAATCCCCTTAAAAATACATAAATTAAGGTAAATAAGGCATGCTTAGGGCTAACTCTAGCCCCAAGAGGATGTCTAGCCACTCATGGATGGTGTCCTCCAACCCTCAAGGGCTATCTCCATGGTAGAAATGCTCTTCTTCTTGAGGTAGATGGAAGACTTCCCAATAATGTGTCTCTATCCTCCTCTTCTCTTTTCTTCCTCTCTAAGAATGATATCAAATGTTGTATCTAAAAAACATGTAAAAGTGGCTTATAATCCTTATATAGGTAGCTGAAATGTCACACCCAATGGTCTAGGCTCGTACATAAGGGCTCCTCTAATGATTGCACCATGAGACAACTTTTAATGAGCTGGAAATTGATTTAATTCGTACTTGAGAGGGTTCGATCAATTGAACCTATGCTGAGATCGATCGAACTTGGCTGAGATCTATCAAACTTTGGCTGGATCGATCCTCCCATAGCGGCGCCTTTTTAGATAAAGACAAATCTGAGATATTTTTGAGATATTTTGGGAAAGAGACAAAAGTGGTGGGTGGGGTGGTAAGACAAGATAAGATGGAATCTTTTCGGTCGATTTAATAAATGTTGGATCGATCGAACATTGTGGGATTTTTGGATAAATACAAAAGAGCTTGGATCCATCTTGGAGTGCAGAGATCGATCTATGTTAAATCGATCGAAGAAATTCTGTGATCGATCGAACTTTGCTGAACTTCCACCACTTGCTTCATTTTGCTTCCACTTTGCTCCTTTCTTTCATTCATCTCAAGATTGTTTCAATTATACTCTTATTTGGCTGAATTAGCTTATTTTGGGGATAAGTTCCTGAAAATGGAAATAACATGAATCAATCCAAACGGAAAAATAAGATAGATAAAGGTACTAGAATACCTAAGCTTAACGAGTTTAAACGCGCACTTTTCAGCACTTATCAGAGGTCCATGACCAATATCCACGATGTGGAGGTAATAACTTGGAGGAGTTTAGGACATTGTTCTTTGACCGCTTCTTTTCGAGGGCTATGAGGCAGGACATGAGAGTGCAGTTCATAAGTCTCTATCAGGGCATGATGAGTGTCATTGAGTATGAGACACGCTTTACTTCTCTTTCCTGCTATGCACCAGGGATGGTAG